CAATGCCTCTACTCCTTTTCTTTTTTGCTGCTAGAAGCAAGAATTTTGAATTATGATGATGATAAACTTATGTTTATAACAACATATAAAAATCCCTTTTTTGTATACTTGAATCAATGAGATTTAACTTAGTTTCCTAAAGGTACCATTTTGTTAGAATTTGTGGGCTACTATTTATGTTTATTCCTTTCTTTCAAAAAAATGCACTAGTGTTTGAACTATTTAAATATAACACCCATAAGCTAAAAATAACATACATAACAATTTCAAGTGAATACTTATAGTAGCACTTACTTATTTGCTATTTGCCCACCCACATATCATTTGCCAATGTGCAGTTTGCCAACTGCAGTTCAACAAATGTTCTAGCAAAACTATCTCTCATCTGTATAATTTAGAGGTTAAGTGTAATATATGTTCAGAGCCAGCTTAAGGATGTAGTAGAAATAATTCAAGAATACTATGTTAACTTCTCCTTAGCATTCATAAAAACCTTTGTCCTTACTCTCTTACTACAATATAAACAATAAAATACATGAACAGTCAACAGGAAAATGAAGAATTCACTAAGGTCACTGGGAAAGAATATCAAAGCCCAGTGAAGGTTCCTATAAAACAGCTACTTGGATCATCTTATACTTCTCTTTAAAATCTGCAGTGCTGGTTTGACCCCCATAAAAGTTTGAAGGTTCCATTTGAAAAAAAAAATCTTTAAAATTCTAGGTATATGCCTGAGTTTATTCTAGGTAACAGTAAGAAACAGCTGGTAAAATTTTGTGAAAGGAAGATAAGGAATTTTTAAAGTTGATGAGGGAGGAAGGGATAAGGATTTCATTCATGGAGCTGAAGCTGCTCTTCTGTACTAGGAAAGGTTTTAGAGCTAGACATCCTTTTTCTCAGAGGATCTTCAAATAAGCCCATGAGCTGACAGTGTCATCCCTGTTTCTCAGAAGGGAGGTGATTTGAAAAGGCTAACTTGTCCAAGCTCACACAGCCGTCAAATGGCAACCAGATACCTGAGACACACAGGTTCTACATCTGCTGTTCACTCAGCTACCCAGGAGGCTAAGGACACACTCAAGGTCTGGGGTTTCAGCAGATGGTGGCCTTGGCGTAAGGCAGTGTGAGCAGGAAGCAGGATACCACTAAGACCCCTTGTTACCATTTGCTGATAGTGAAAGTTCCCTCTCCATTTTTCTGAATATTAGAGACCGCACAGACATCATAGAAAATAGACTCCAACCATCAGCCTTTGTATTTCAAGTCACCACAGCAAATACAATCTGCTTCCCTGGTTTTTTTTATGGTTACACTTTTAACTTAAAATATGGACATTTAAGAGCTGAATGACTGTTTTACTATTGGGTAGTTGATAGGTGGTAAAGCTCTACATCTTTAGGGTTTTGTTTGTTTTGTTTTTGTCAAGAGTTAAATAATTTTGCAGAAAGTGGCCAAGTATTATGGACACTTTATTCCCATCTAGAACACTATATCATCCTGGGTTGATGTCAGTGAGACGTGTTCACTGTTCTTCTTGTCACTTCTGCAGACAACAGAGCAATTTGCTTGAAATGCAAATCCTAAACACTTAACTCACTTTGTTACAGGGTTACATCCACAGAAGTCATAGCTCCTAGGTCTGGAATGGAAATGATGATCTCTTTTACATTAAGTTTCAATGATATCTATGCCGTAGTCTGTATATGTGTGTATGTAGATTGTTACAGGAGTTTATAATTAGTTGTTCAATTGTTTTCATTTATTTTTATTGATCTATGTATATTATATATTTATACTTAATATTTTGTTGACTAAGAAAGTATTAACTCTAAAATGTCTGTGCTGAAACATACATATTCTTGCCCAATGCAGAAAAGCTATACTCAAACCCTTAAATTTTTCCCCAGCTTTAATTTTACTAACCTACTAATTTTGTTAACTAATAAAAGATAAAACAAATCAAAATATAAGCTAGGGAGCATAAATACACAATAAAATATTAGCAGATGTTCCCCCAAAGAATGTCACATGTGTAATAAAAATTTAAATGGTTTACTGTATGAAAATTTTTGTAGTTATTTCTAATTTTGTCCCTTTGATTTACTTTAATTGATACATTCATTCTGTTAAGTAAACTTGGAGAAAATCCAAAAATACTATAAAAGCTTCCATTTTGCTCAGTTTTCAGAACTCATTTTTTTTAATTATATATATATATATATTTGCCTTCAATTAGCTCTTGTGAGGTCTGCAACTGTTTTTGACATTGTAGAGTGAAGTTTCAGAAATAAAATTAGTGGAACAGCATGAAGATACAAATTTTAAAAATAATTTTGGGAATAGTCAAATTTTATGTCAAATCATATTCATCATGTAATTCTCCAAAAATTTTAGTTGGATATTATTTTCTATCAATACTTTCTTTAAGGATATATTTATTTATGCATATAGAACTAGGGTACAGGCCAGAGGTGTAGGGGAGGTGAGAGGATTCACCAGATACAGAATGGCAGAGTAAGGAGCAGAACAGGCAGATTGACCAAGTACATTGCTGAGGGGAGCAGCCGGAGCGTGAGGAGAGGTCTGCCGCGCCATGTGGGTCACCCTCCGGGGCAGGGGCTCCAAAGTAGCTACACAACTGTTTTATTTCTTAAAGAGAATAAGCAGTATGGGTCCTCCCTAGTGGCGCAGTGGATTAAAGCACAGCACTGAGGAGCTAAAGCCACTTCTGCACGAGTTCAATCCCCACCCCGGAGGTGACCCACATGGCGCGGCAGACCTCTCCTCACCCTCCGGCTGCTCCCCTCAGCAGTGTACTTCATCTATCTGCCTGTTCTGCTCCCTGCTCTGTATGTGGTGAATCCTTTCACTGTCCCTGCACCTCTGGCCTGTACCCCAGTTCTGTATACATAAAATAAATAAATCTCTAAAAAAAAAGAGAGAGAGAATAAGCAGTATTATTTTTTCCTGCTACTTCATTGATACATAAATATCTACTGACACACAGAGCAGTATTTATATGTAATATAGACAATTATATATTATATATTTATAATTATATGGATATTGCTGATCATTATATCATCTAATATTTATGATACTATTTAAAAATGCTTATCAAGCAATCTTGCATATATTACCTCTTTCATAATTCACATCAGAGTTCTATGACTTAGGTCATTGTTCCCACTATAGGCATAAGTTTGGAGAAGTCATGTGAATTGTCTAGCATTGCTAAAAATAACAACCACAACCACCAGATTCATAAATAATAATAGCAGCAGCAATGATAGAGGGGCAGCAACTGAAGATTGTTAAGCACATATTCTGTGCCCATCACTATGCCAAGAGCATAATAAATGCTCTCATTTAATCCTCATAGCAGCACTTCTAGGTAGCTATTATCCCTCCTTTGCAAAAATGTCTGCAGCTTGGGAAGGATAACAGCATTTCCCAAACCAACAGACTAATCCCGAATTCCAGCTGGGGCAATCTGACTCCCCAACCTGCCCGCTCAGTGAGGGCACTGAACACCTCAGGGCTGACCTTTAAATCCAGATCTTCACATACTCCACCTGATGTTCCTTCCATAAGGACAGAGGAGGTCTCACCTGACCTCCAGGCAGCACCCTCCACACACAAGGCACGAGCCTCACTTCATCACTGCAAAGCTGGCCTAATTCTCCTTCCCTGGCTCAGCCCACACTGAGCCCTTATAAGGACAGGACCTAATAGGTCCCCAGTGTCACTGCCTTCTTTGCCTTCCGGGTTGAGATATGGAAATCCATGAACAAACTTGTCTTCCAGCTTTGAGATTCAGAAGCTCCCTTCCTATGCTTTACACAACCAGGAGAATCACATCTCAGGAAAAGCAGACGAACATGGGATAATCTCTCTGAATGAAAAGCTATGTCCACCCCCTCCCAAAAAAACATTGCTTCCAGGGAGTCAGGTGTACCACTGATTTAAAAAAAAAAAAAAGATTTTGTTGTGAATCTGGATTAGCCCTTTGGTTTGGGAAATGCTGTTATCCAACTATGAAAAGGAGAAAAAGGATTCTGGTGGTAGAATAAAGCACTGATTTGGAGTCAGGTGTTCTCTTAATCTAGGCTCTACAACTATTTTTATTAGTGAAATGGACAAGTCATTTCTTCTCAATTTCTTTATGTGTAAAAATAGTCCTGAGATTCTTGCAAATCTATCATTCAGCATTACTTTCTACTAGTTGAGGTAGCACTCATCTACCACTCGGCATGTGTGTGTGTATCCATGTGTGAGAGAGAGAGAGAAGGAGTGTAGGGAGAAGGAGGAGGAGGAGGAGGAATGTAAGATTAGTCATGTAAATAAACATGAGAAAGAAAAGAAAGTTAGTAAATACCCATAGCATGGTAAATATTTTATAGACTGTAACAATTAAACTGGATTCAAAATGGCTTTACTTGTAAGAGTGGGGGGGGGGGGTTGTCTGTTAATCAAAGAGCAAATTAGGGATTTACTTTACCATGATATCCTCTTCGAAGGACAATCACTATCATTTAGGGTTCTAATATTTAGATATTGAAAAGTCTTGGATTTTGAAAACCAAAGGCAATGACTATCTGTTTCTTTCAGTATATGTGCATAGTTTTATTTAAAGGAGTGTCCTCCTTTTGACAACTGGTGATCTATGTCCCTGAGAGGTAAAAGGAGATATATTTTATGTACTAGGTGGTAGGTTCCTTTGATATATGCAGAATAAACTTTTCATTTACTTCCTTTTTTTTAGCTGACACTTTTTGCTGATTTATTGCAAGCTAAAGGATAAATATACATGTGTGCTTTATGTAATCTGGGAAGCATCTCTCTGGTTTAAGGTGGTAAAGAAACTACTTTCCATCATTTAATTCTTTCATATATAAAGCTGTGGTTTTATCTTTTGAATGCAAAAGGAAGTTATCTTTTAAAACTTCTCAATGCCATTCTCTACATGATACATTTTTTTATATGATTATATGTTTCAGGCTCTGCTTGATACTCAGAATCTTCTGCGTGCACAGATTACAAATTTTACCTTCAACCTGGGCTTTTCAGGGAAATTTTACCATACAGGTAAGAAAAAGGGGAGTGACTATTATCCCAGCCACCTTCTCCAAACTGCATACCTTTCCTAATTACTCATTTCTGGCTTTTCTGTGCCCACTCCGCCTTTGTTTGCTCCTTATTCCATCCCATTCAATACAGTTCCTTTTAACTGTCACAAAATACTAGTGACTTGAAAGGTTACTCATCTTATAGTAGTTAGTGGTCTTCCTTTCCTGTTGAACTACCACCTACATGTAAAAAGGTTCATAAATATTAAGTTTAGGGGTCCACAAATTATCACAAAATGTCACCACTGTGTGGCTAGCATGCAGATCAAGAAATAGAATGTTACCATGCCTTTCCACCTGTGCCCCAAGGTGCTAGCCTCCCCAACAAAACCACTCTCTTGTCTTCTGTATCAGCCAGTCTGGCTTTGAGATAAAGTGTAGAAGGAATTATACATAGACTTCTCTGTGTCCAGCTTATTTTGTTCAACATCATTTTGGTTTCACAGATATTACTGTGTATAGTTGCAACTTTTTCACTTTCATTGCTTTACAGTATTTCAATGTTAGAATATGCAAACATATCTTTATTCCATTTCTTTGAACTATGGATGATTGATTTCTATTCTTTGGTAGCTGTCATGTTACCTGTCCTTCCAAGGACAAAAGTAATTTCTTTGTTAACTCTCAATCATGAGAATTGCTAGTTATATAGACAGTTGTGATCAATTTTAACACAAGATTCCAAAGCACTGTCAAAGCTGTTGTACCTATTTATGTCCTGACAGTATATGTTTCTCCATTATTCTCTGTCCTCATTAATATTTGATGTTGTATTTGTAATTTTAGTCTTTCTGGTGGGCATGCAGAGATATGCGGTTTTAATGTACATTTCTCTCTGATGAGTGAAAAAATAGAGCTTCTTATATATGTTCATTAGCCTTTTGGGTATCCACTTTTGCGAAGTATCTTTTTTTCCTATTTTTCTTGGTGTCTTGTGGAATTTCTTTATATATTCTTACTGAGTCAGTCCTCCATCAGTTATTAGGGGCAAATACTTTCTCCTGTGTGGCTGTTTTCTCAATCTCTTAATAGTTTTTTTTTTTTGAACAAACATACTAAGCAGGACATGGTCAAATTTATCTTCTTTTTGTTCTATGGCCAAAGATGTCTTTTAAAAGACATCTTTACATACTGCACAATCATGAAAATATGTTTCTACATTCTGAAAATGTATCTACCTGTGATCCATCTGGAATTCAGTTTTGTATTATGTGAAGAGGGGTGATGATATTTTCTTTTTTGTGTGCAAAATAAACTATCAACAAAATGAAAAGGGAACCTACTGAATGGGAGAACATGTACACTACTCATATATGTAAAGGGAGCCCTTCTTGGCGGCACAACGGGTTAAAGAATAGCATTATGAAGCTATCAGCAGTCACTGTAGCACTAGTTCGATTCCCAGCCAGGGAGGTGACCTACATGGTATGGCAGACTTCTATCTCGCCTGCAGCTCCCCTCAGCAAGTGTATTTCAGTCAATCCACCTGTTCTGTTCCCCACTCTGACTCTGATGAATCCTCTCACCCCCCACACCTCTGTCCAGTACCCCAGCTCTTGTATGAATCAATAAATAACATCTTAAAATACAAAATATATTAAAAAGTTTCTACAGCTTAATAGCCAAAAAGTAAACAATCTAATTTAAAAATGGACAGAGGGTTTAAATAGACTCTTTGAAAAAGAGGTACAGATGTTTATCAGACCCAGTCACTAGTCATCAAAATGCAAATCAAAATGATAATGAGATAGCACTTCTCACCTGTTAAAATAGCTACTGTCAAAAAGACAATAATCAGGCCCTCCCTGGTGGCGCAGCGGGTTAAAGCACAGCACTGAGAATCTAAAGCCGCTTCCGCATGAGTTCGATTCCCGCCTGCCCGGGAGGTGACCACATGGTGTGGCAGACTTCTCCTGACCCGCCCGCTGCTCCCCTCAGCAGTGTACTTCGTCAATCTGCCTGTTCTGTTCCCCACGCTGTCTCTGGTGAAGCCTCTCGCCGCCCCTGAGCCTCTGGCCTGTACCCCAGTTCTGTATGCACAAATAAATAAATCTTTAAAAAAAAAAGACAATAATCAGTAAGTAATGGTGAGGATGTGGAGAAAAGGTAATGCTTGTGTGTTGTTAATGGAATGCCAATTGGTGCAACCACTGTGGGAAATAGTATGGAGGGTCCTCAAAAAATCTAAAATAGAATTATCACTAGAAATAGATCCAGCAGTTTCATTTCTGGGTATTCATTTGAAGTTAATAAAAAATTTAACTCAAAAAGATATATGTGCCCCATATTCACTGCAGAACGAGATAAGGAAGCAACCTAAGTGCCCATCAATATGTATGGATAAAAATGTGATGCTTATACATATGGCCAAATATATACACATAAATAACTCAATTTTATTCATCCAGAAAATACAATGAAAATCTTAACATTTGAGGCAACATGAATTGACCTTGATGACATTATGCTAAGTAAAATAAATCAGAAAGAGAAACCAAGCACAGTATGATCTCACTTGCATATGGAGTCAAAAAACAAAAATAAAAAACTCATTAATATAGAAAATAAACTGGTGGTTGCCAGAGACAGGATGGGGAATGAGCAAATGGATGGAGTCAAAAGCACAATTTTTTTTTCCAATTGTAAATAGATCACTAGGACAATATTAATAATTGAAAATTTGACAGTTGCAGAGTAGGTCTTAAAAGTTTTCATCATACAAAAAAAAAATATGTGTAACTATGTGGGGTAACAGATGTTAGCTAGACTTACCATGCTGACTATTTCACAATACATACAAATGTCAGCTATTATGTTACAAACCTATAACCAACATCATGTAATATATCTGAACTTTAAAAAATAATGATGTCTTGTTTAATATTCCATTTCTTTGTTGATGGCACATAAAAACAAAATTGTTTTTCTATACAGATCTTGAATCAAACAATTTTGTACATTCACTTATATCTATAGTTGTAGATTCTTTTGGATCTTATACCTATACAAAGACGTAACTCTGAATAATGAAATTTGTATTTCTTCCTTTCAAGCCTTATGAATTTACTTTCTTTTTCTTGCCTGTGGCACTCATTTGGATTTCCAGTACAATATTAAATAAGAGTGATGATGGTGACACTCCTGTCTTGTTCTAACCTCAGGGAGAAATCTTTCAGTAGCTCTGTTCCAGTTCTCAAGGGAAACTTATTTCAAAAGAATATTTTGTAGAAACTCTTTATTAGCTTAAGGAAGCTGCCTTCTATTCATAGCTGGTTAGAGTTTCACTTTCAATAGTTGAATATTCTTTGTTATAAATTATTTGTTTCTCCTTCCACACTAAAATAAATCCTCCATGAAGACACACTGCTGTAACACCAGCCCTAGAACCGTGCCTTTGAAAAATCAATTAAGGAACAAATGATTGAGTCAAATAAAATCACCTTCATGGACCCTCCCTGGTAGGACGCATCACTGCAAGCAAGCCATAGCCCCTTCACTGTGAGTTCGATCCTGACCCCAGAGTGGCACAGCAGACCTCTCCTGATTCGCCACTGCTCTGTCTCACTCTGCTCCTCACTCTGACCCGCCCACTGTTCTGCTCCTCACTCTGTCCCTGGTGAATCCTCTCACCCACCATCCCTGCACCTCTGGCCTGTACCGCAGTTCTGTGTGCATAAAATAAATAAATCTTTAAAAAATAACCACCTTCCTGTTAACTTTTATAGTATATATGCAACAATTCCTAATTGCCCATGTTGTGTCATTTTAAATATTACGAATAATTAAAAGCTTCTTAAATGTAAGAAAACACTCCCAACAGTTAATTTTTGTGTGTGTGCGGAGCCACAAGTGCTAAAGAGTGACCCTAACCAGCAGCTCCCCTTCCTTTGTTTTTCTGAAAGATGTGTCTGCTTTCCTTGTTTGAGCACTCAGGTTCACAACATGAATGTTCCCTCTGTAGCCAAAGAAAGTATAACAGAGGGTGAAGCTAAGGCTGAGGCTTGAAGGAGTCTTGTTAGTTAAATATGATAGAAAAGCTCCCATTAAAACAGAACTTGGCTGTTTTAATGGTATTTACCAGTAAACACCATTTTGAGTGTGGAAATATACAAAACTTAATACTCTGAGTCTTTCAAAAATTAGATATTCTAAAGTTTATTGAATTACAGTAACTTCTTTTTAAATAAGTAATTTCTTTCTCTATTAAAAATTCTATCATTATATTCAATCTTGAAGTGATGAAGAAAAATAGCACTATAACAATAGTAATACTTTATTTCAGGAAAAGGTTTCATCTTTTTTCATTTATTTTAATATTGAAGGATTTGTGCATTTTATAAGAAATAGATGAAGGGCATAAAAAATATAGTTCCCTTTTAGTGAGTCATGCCATATTCTAGGTACATAGCTAAGCATTTTCATTGAATTCTAAAAGTTACAGGATGTTACCTTGTTTTCTAGATAAGAACAAAGATACTTAAGGAGGTCCAAGGTCATATAGCTAGTTAAGTGTCCAAAATAGTATTAACTTTAGGTCAGTCTGAGCTCAAATCTTATGCATTAGAAAAAAAATAGACATTATTGTTTAATTGGCTGCCCTGGATGAAGGAAGCTGAATCATGAAAGGGTTCTTCCTCTTATCTCTAAGGTCTATAGATCAGTATTAGGTTTATGTTTCCCTCCCATATTATATGTACGCATTGATAAGCATCATGTATATCTTTTAAAATGTATATATTATAATCATGTATGATATATACTTATGTATGTATGCATATAATATATAAATGTGCCTATGAGTGTATTTGTGTATAAATGCATATTTCTACCAATAGTATTAACAAATTGTAATAATGTCCTAGAATTAGTTAACAATGTGAAGAAAAGTGCTATTTGAATCAGTGACTGATGATCTTATGTCTAAAATCCACATTTAGTCATTGATTTAAGGTACTGAATTTGAAGCTGCTGAATCTGGCTAGAATTCAGGTTCAGAATTCAGCTTCCTTTCCAATCTCCTCAGTGATTTAGGACATTTACTTCACCTTTCCAAACATCAATTTCCTTCACTGTAAAAGGAAGTTAGCAGGTGTCTTTATCTTATAAACTTGTGAAAATTAAATGAGAAGATGCTTGTATTACACTTAATACAATGCTTCATAAAAGGTAAAGTCTGAATCAATGACTTTTTTTTTTACTAAATTGCTAGAGAAGGAAATGACCTACATGAAAATTATTTAAAATTAGACAGAATAAGTAATTTGCAATAACTTTGTAAGATTTCAATGCAGCTTTGTAACCAGAAATGACACCTAAAGTTAAGGAACTTAACTTCCAGATTTCCCTTCCTCCAAAGCTCTGCTTTGACATAGCTGGACATTCAGGGAGATAGAGGGCTGTCAAAAGTCTAGGGCAATCCACCACAACAACTATGTGTTGGCTGCTCTTCATCAGAATGTTTAAAGTAATCATCAGTAGACACTAGTTCACAGTGTCATTAGTTCTAAAAACTAATTTAGTCCCTAAATCAGGGCTAAAGGAAGTAAGTTAAAAACTACATACAAAGAAAAAAATATGAAAGGTATAAGATTATGACTACTGTGAATTTACATACAACTGCAGAGGGCAGGCTTCATTTGTCTAATCCATGCATGATTCAAATGTATGAATATTTTAATAGCAGATTTCACCATGATTTTTAGAAAGTGAAGAAATGCCTGAGCTAATGTTCTAAAGAACCCTGACCCCTGTTACTCAGCACTGAAAAATAAACTTTGAGTAAAAGCCAACTTAAAAAAGACAAAATGAGAAGAAAGATACAGAGAAAGGCAGGAGTTATAAAAGACAAGGGATAGAAATTAAGGCAATAAGTGGGGTTACTTTTATTAAACTAGGAAATTTCAGCTCACTGTCTATACTCCTTACACAGGAAGGTAGAGCTCAAGAATGAATCGATTATTAGCAAACCCCAAGTCTTGCCTCTTTTCAGAATAGCAATATATGACTGCACTAAGTAACTGAAGTAACCATAACTAACACAGTGTCCTGAGGACACACAAAACGTTGTGCAGAAGCAGAGTATCTTGGATATAAATGGAGACGTTTAACTGCAGGGGAAACAATGACATGATCCTATGTCAAAAAGCCAAATAAACAAACCAGAAACACATAGTAATGCTTCTTTACCAGGGCTACATTATTTGCATCTAAAAGGTAATATAAGATCTAGGTCTCTGGCATGAGTGAAGTCATCTTCCTATTTCTATGTCAAATGAGTGAAATAGCATGATCCTTCACCAATGAAAATGAAAGTGAGGACTGCTCTTAGTGAAGGCTCATGGTATCCCATTCATTTGGCATCACTGATTCTTTTAAATCAGGAGATGCATGTAGATGCACTGTGCCTGTATCTATAAGTAGCTTTCATTGCCTGATAAATCACAGAGTATGTATGATTCTTTTCCTGCCAGTGGGCTCTGCCTTCTTTCTCTTGGGAAACTTAATGAAGGAACAGTGGTCACAGGCACTGGGCTCAGAAGGCCAGGGGGAGCGCAGCAGGCCGTCTTCCATCCTAGCCTGTAGGGTCTTATTAAAACCAACCACATCAGAGCTGCTATTGAAAATATGGGTGGAAGTTTTCTACATACAGAGGAGATAGTTTTCGAGAACCCAAAGTTCTAGGGTCTTATTGAATACAGTGTTGTGGCTGAAATGTAAGTGTCATTGCAACATTCTGTGATGATTAATATCATTTTCTGAGACCAGGACAGGAGAGAGAGACCTTACACTGCTCTCATTTCATGCTTTAGTAAAGAAAATGCCTGGGGAAGTACAAAGAGTCTCCTACATCCTCAGTTATGAAAACTGGAACTGCTCACAGTCAGTAAACAACAGATGGGGGGGGGGAAGGAAGGAGGAAATAAAACAAGTCCAAACATGAAAATTTACAGAACTAGCTCTCAAGGAAACAGGAGTTTTTGATGGATAGTCTGCTTCTAAGACCTAGGAAGGAAAGTCTAAGAGCCATGAGAACCACCCAGGAGCCTTAGGACTGTTACTGTGATCTGACTGTGATCCTTCCATCTCTTCTATCCTTTCTCGCCTTAGGTTTTCTCTACTTTTCCCAGTAACAATTCCTACATTTCCCTTTTCCTCCTTTTTATGCATTAGTTTTCACTATTCATTCCTGAGTACTTTATCAAACCTAAAGAGGAGCTCCAATGTATTATGGAAATATTTTATTGTGACTGTTTTGATACAACCCATGTAGGGGTGATGGAATCCTGGAGCTCTGCCACACATTTCATTACTCACATTCCTTCAAGTACATTTCCTAATGTACCCCTGTTCTCTCCAAACTAGGAATCAAGGAAGCATGCTAAAAGTTAAGAGTTCTGATGTCCTTGGGAATGGTTGTGTATTTCCATCTAGTAGTGATTATTTTTAGCCACATCTCAAGTTTAAGAACGTTTTGCTTTTGTCACAGTGTCTGGTTGTTAGCCAGTAATATATGTTCTTTACTACATTTTATGTACAAAATATTATGTTTATCTAAGTATAAATGGTATCTCTGCAATACATACATAGAAGTACATAATCAGAGAGAGAGACAGAGACACACAAATAGTGAGATAACCAGTATAACAAATTCACTGAATAATCTTTTCTCCCCAAAGGAACTGAAGAGGAGGATGAAGGGGATGACCATCTTTTAGGGTCAGTGGATGAGTTCTGGTGGTTCCCCCACATGTGGAGCCACATGCAGCCGCACCTCTTCCACAATGAGTCCTCTCTGGTGGAGCAGATGATTCTCAACAAAAAATTTGCCTTAGTAAGTAACTTACTTCAAATATTATATTGAATTAATTTACATTAACTACAGAAGTGATCTGCATTTATATGGATAACCTCTTAGCAATTTCTGCAAATTGACACTTTTAAAACCGTGATTTTCTATGTGGTCATTAGAACAACTTGTTATTGAAGCCTTTCAGTGTGTGACTCTTGAGTGTGTACTGGGTTTTCATTACTATGCTTAATGGCTGGGAGGGTTCTCATTTAAGAGAAACTTTACAAGACACTCTGAGGATTCAATGACATGGCATTATGGTCAGAGCTCATACAACATAGCTCCTGTCCAGAAGAAGCTTCCTGTCATACAAGAAGGGTGTAACATGCCCACAGAAAAATTCTTCAACAAAATGAGATATCACAGCCTAATAGAAAACCATACAGACACAGAGGCAACAGTTCAGAGAAGTAAATATTCTTGTGGAAACAGAACTTCAGCAACACTCTGAAATAAGAATAAGATTTCAGTGCCAGGACAAACTGGAGTGAAATGAGGCTGAGGGAAAATACCAGGTAGGATACCATACTGTGACACAAGGTCATGAAAACTCAGTTGAGGAAGGCAGTGGAAAGGGGAAGAACACCATTCTAATGGCAACTGCTGACGTGTGATGGGGTGGAACATTCGGTTGACTAAAGCAAGATACTGTTTTACAATGAAGAGTTTCTGATTTGGCACAAGGAAATTTACAGAAAGGTTATTAAAAAAAAAAAAAAGTACAGCAAGGATACTGTGGCTGGGACCAGAGGGGCTAAGATGCAGTCATTAACAGGCCACTAGGCATGTGCTGGGTAGGAGATGGTGCTTTCTCTTTGCTTTTAGGAATTCTAAAGGGCACATAAACACATGGGAAGAGTCCAGACAGGCTCTATGCATTCATTCAACCTTCTCCTTTACTATGTGTAGATATAAAGGCCTTTTTTAACCCAGTGGAAACTATTCTAGAGAAAATCCTGCCTTAATTATCTTCTCTACCTAGAATATGCAAAAGTTTAACTTGTGCTAATATTGGTTTTCTAAATTGGGTCACATCCTACTTTTCTCCACCAGTTTGTTTGAAGTTCTGAATTAACAACAAGCATGAGTGTTTTCCAAAGAAGGAACTGAAAGAATACAGAGAGAAGCAATGGGAACCTCTGGGTGTTTAACAAGACTATAGGTCAGGAGTAGAACACAATATTCCAAGGAGTGACTGAGTTAGACTACATTTAAACTGCCTTTCTATGTAAGAGAATATGTAAGACACTTTCATGTAAAACTCTTGTTGTGGGCCTTCTCTATCACTGATAGTCAAATACTGGCTATCCCCATTGAGTTTCAGCAAACACATCTGATCTATTATCCTTTTGCTCAATATGGACACTCAGAAGAGAATCTGATGGCAATTTCAATTTAGCTTTGAAAGCTCTAATAGCTTATCACAGAAAGTCAAGCAAATCTTTCAAGCATAGTTGCATTTGATGGTTCCAGTCATTAAGAAATGCAATAAAAAAGGTTGATGAGAGAATATTGTTAGTTACCAAATATAGGCTAATTCAGACACTTTAATCATGTTTCAGCAGGTGGCCTTTTTAGAAAGGTGCCATTTTTGGGGCAAGAATAAGTTGTAGGCCCTCCCTGGTGGCGCAGCGGGTTAAAGCACTGCTCTGAGAATCTAAAGCCGCTTCCGCATGAGTTCGATTCCCGCCTGCCCCGGAGGTGACCACATGGCGTGGCAGACCTCTCCTGACCCGCCCGCTGCTCCCCTCAGCAGTGTACTTCGTCCATCTGCCTGTTCTGCTCCCCACTCTGTCTCTGGTGAAGCCTCTCACCGCCCCTGAGCCTCTGGCCTATACCCCAGTTCTGTATGCACAAATAAATAAATCTTTAAAAAAAAAAAAAAAAAGAATAAGTTGTAATGTTGATGATGGTTCTACAATACCATTTCAGGTATCATACAACTTTAAAAATTGGACAAAATTCCATGACTCAATTGAAAACATGAATCTAATTTTGGTACTTATGGTAGTTTTTCAATGATAAATTAGAAATTTTTATTTAAGAATTCATTGCCAACACCAGAGGTTGCATAGCACTGTTATGGATAATGCTACTGAAATTAGTAGTAGTAGAACAGTGTTTGAGTAAACATAAAATCTTGCCAAAGATACCCGTTTGACTGCATTATCATTATTCTTTCAAATAGCATCCTTCCTCTCCTCTAAGTTCAGCAGAACCTGCTAATTTACATTAACTGGAATATATTATCAATTAAGCAACTTTTTAGATTAGTGAGCACATTAACTTTTCTAATACAGAAATAAAGATTATAGTATCAACATGTAATTTAGAATCTATTGAAAGACTTTCTGGCTTAAGGAGTATATGATAATCTTTTCATTAGTTTGCTTGCCAGATATAATGAATTCTATCATCTTTACTTCAGTAAGACATTTTATAAAAAGGGACATTAGATGTTCATTTTGTTTATATTAAAAACAAAGTATAATTCTAGTGGGCCTAACAGACATGGAATTAAAGTCGGGATGCAGAAGGCACCCCTGAGCTGGCAGACCACTGCTGGAGTAATGAGAACAGTGCCACTGATGAAGGACCCCAGCCGTTACTCAAGCAAATGACCTATACGGTGACGTCTATGACTTACTTCACAAAAATAGCTGAAGGAACTTGGAAAGGGCAAGAGGTAGAAGAATAGGGCGTATCTTCAGCATAAATATTAACCGTAGAAGTACCTGTACAGCCATACCAATTACTAATATGCTGAAAGATGTCAACACTCACTGCTCCTCCAGCCTTCCCCAGTATGTCCCAAAGCTTCCACTTACACAGCAACTAAAGAGGCCTGATGTACGGTCTCCAGCATCCAGCTCCAGCTCCACAGGTGCCAGAAGCTGTGAGTTGTCAATGGCTTAATGGCTGGGAACTATTTCGAGTACCACCCCTTCATATAGTGAGTCATATGACCTAGAGTGAACTTGAATCTGTGCATTCGGAAAGGAAGTCACAGCAGAGGCAGTTTAGTCCTATACTGTCAAGTGCAATTCTTCTTCTACCCTAGATAAGTGTCTAACTGAATGGTAACTGACACCAGTGGGTGTTCCGTGTTTGTTACATGAAACTATAAGTCTTTCTTCTGGATCCTAAGACTTTATCATTGTTGTTGTTTAATGTAAGTTTTATTATTATTCAGATATGTGAGGAGACAACTGCTACTGAGAAGACTTTGTTCAGACAGTTCCTGACAGGGCCCCACAGGGAGCAAGGGGGAAGTTCAGGCAAAAGGCTTTGCTTTGGAAAGGCAGCACTTGACAGGGTAAGAAAGCTTAGGATTGGCTCCCTTGAATCCAAATTTCAGTGGGAACTGAAGTATAAGGCCCTTTTCTTGTCATCTGTTGCCTGTCCCTGAAGTGATTACGGTAAGGAGATCTCAGCTCAGCATCCACAAACAGATAAAGGCTGAGCTTGAGGGTCGGGATTCTGAACTCACTGGCTGCATTTGAAGAACATGCTCTTGGATAGGTTTCAACTCTCTCTAGGAACTGGTTGAGCTAACAAGAAAGTCTTTACAAGATCATCAAGGCCCTTGATGGGCATGATTAGTATAACTTCATATCTCTCTCTCTCAACATTCCACAAAGCTTCAAATTCCCATTCCAGTTACAATTTTTATACAGTTTCTAACTCAATTATTATTCTTCTCAATATATGGTGTCCCAATCTGAACACTATGGCCAATTGCTATGTTCTACTAGAACAAAAATGATTTAAAGTTAAAATTCCCCTTCATGTACAACTCATTTCTGTTTAATCAACAAAAGATCACATATTTTTAACTGAAATATCACTGTATATGACTTTGGTGAGTGGGTTCACACCGCCTAAGTTGTATGATATCACAGCACACCCACCAGCAAAGCATCCACAGCCCTTTGCTCTAGACCAAGGGGCCTCTTCTACTAGCCTCAATTCTGCAGTCACATTTCTAGGGTCTATTTTGGTTTAATTTGCTTTGTTTCTCTGTGTTCCACATACAAGTGAAATAATTTAGCATTTATCATTGTCCTTTTGAGCTATATTATTTAGCATAATCCCCTCCAGTCCATACAAGTGACAGACGTTTATTTATTTTTTTAATAGCCAAGAAGAAATCCATTTTGGATCTGTACCACATCTATGTCTCCATAGCCTGGCTACTGAAAATAGCTGCAGTGAACACAGTGGGGGGTACATGTATCCTTCGAATGGTTCAAGTAGATACCTAGGAGTGAAGCTGAATTGCTGGATCATATGTAAAATATTTTTAATATGCTGAGCAGGCTCCATACTAGTAAGATCACATTAAAAAAAAATTACCCCTAAGTCTGTCAGGCCATCTGCCCATCATCTATTTATTAAACCTTCGGGCATTTGTTTTTATCCAATTGATTTTGTTAACCAAAAGTAGCCTTGAGATTACTATTGTCACTTTACCATTTCATATGTGTTATATATTCCCTGTCTCAGCAAATCACCATACTGTGATTAAATGATTTGGTAAGGTAATATGCTTTTTATGCTTCCCACCCTTAATCATCAATATATTTTATATTTTATCAGTATGACTTCAGCTTCTTCATCAAAGAAGGTTAAGGAGATTTAGAAGAGCACATGTGAAAGTAACTATAAATCTACAAGATCTATTTTTAAATTACCTTAAGATGTATACTTCTGAAAAAGCTGAGTTTATTATAGTTTATCATTTACTTTATCATGTCTTTTCACCTAATTTTGTTTATACAATCATAGGTGTTTTGAATGCCTGTTCTCTTAAAACAAAAGAGTGATTATTTCTGTTTGTTTTTTGTTTTTTTTTCCTGTTTCATCAAAGCATTTCAACACCAGCGCTCACTAGTGAATATGGGATAATATTCTTTGTCTATTGTTGATCAGAGTCATTTTTTGATTAGCAACTTATGGAAAATAAGCTCATTCTGAGATGT